ACGTGTTAAATTTGAAATACACCTATCAACCCAAAGAAGACATTTTTGTGGGAAGAAATGAAATTAATATACTTTTCATGTGTTGATTTATTTTTTCAAAGAGAAGCAGCAAGTGGGGTGTGTGAGGTTTTCCTGTGATTTAGGAAGGACCTTGGGGGCCATGGGTGACCCAGAAGCAGCTGGGATCTTTCATGCCAGCGACAGCTAAAAGGAACAAAGTCTGTGGACGTTTGAAGCACAGTGTTCTCATGGAAAAGTTACAAATTGTTAAGAAAGCTTCATTTTGTGAACAAAAGTTCGTTTGACTGAGCTCTCAAGTGTGTAATTCACATTTTTGAAGAATTAAAAAGCATTCAGATAAGGTTTTTTCCAGGGTGATATTCTTCAAATCCTACGAGAACTGTAAAAGTATAAAGTAAGGAGGAAATGTTGTATTATGACAGCTTATCTCTTTTTTTAAGCACTTATTTAATCTCAGCATTATATTTGAGTGAATTCTGTGAATAGCAGAAAGGTTCATTCATGGTTATGTCAGTTTTTCAGAGCTGAGAGTCCCAAGCTAAAGGGCAACATTGTAGAAAATTAACCAGTTTTTTCTCAAGCTATTTGAATAAAAATTATTTTCCTGAAATCATGGACTTAAGAAACAATTCTTAAAACTTGTGTTGAATTTTGCACATTTCCAGTTAAATTAGAAATTCACAAAATTTCCTTTCACTCTAAGAAAACCAGACTCACTAATCTAGAAAGAAATCTTTACACGTACACTTGAACAATCAGCAACCGAAATACTCAGAACCCTAAATGGGTTTGTAACTTTGCCCCTCTGTAAGTTGGCAAACCAACAAGACTTATTTGTCCCTGACATAGCCCAGAGTCCAGAATCCTGTACTGGAGCAAAACAAAACAACTCTGAGTGACCCCAGGTGCTTCCGTGTGTCTTCAGCTGTTAAATGCAACAGCAGAAGTTCCACAGACACACGGATACGGTCCCGGGGCTGGACAACCCCGCAACAGGGGAGCCCTGGGGCTCCCGAGCCCTCACCTGCCCCTGGGAAGCGTGGAAGGGGAGGCAGTGCTCTGGATGCGGGTGCAAGTGGGCGAAGTGTAGGTCAAACATTGCCTCAGATAGGAAGGTTAGCTCTTCCACCAAAGGAGGCTAAGAAAAGTTTGCTGAAGCTTTCTGAATTTTGGAACTGTGGGCGAGGGATGGGGACCTACTCTCATATACGTAGGAGCTGCCTTTCCCTGGAGAAATTTTCCTCTGAGAAACCTTTGAGAATACGGAAGAGTTAGTCTGGAGTAGTAAGTGCATCAGCGACTCTGAGTTTCATCCTATTCCCTTATGTTACCTTCGTACAATTTTCTGGATTTAGTACTCGCTTGTTTTTATGCCATGTGGGTGAAACCAGCTGGCTTCAGGAAGAATTTTTCAACCCTAAGCATGTTCTCTTGGCCCCAGATTTCTCCTACAAATTCCAGACATCGCACTTGACTGGAAGGGGAGTTCCTGAATAGGTTACTTCCTAATATTTGAAAGGCCAGCACATTGTGGCCTTTGCTAGTCATGTTCTCAAGTTTAATTTTGGCCTCCTTCAGGTGTGTGGCTTGGTTGAATTTGGTTTTGTTCATCGTGGCAAACTGGCCGTTGATGGATTGCTGAAGTCTGTTTTCCCCGTAGCTCCATCCCATCACCTCGTGTGGTCGGCAGGAGGAGGCAGATCTACCCTCTCAGCCACGCGCCCCTCCCGCCCCGTGAAAACTGCCGGAACACTGATGCACCACTTCCCGTGCTACCAACATTAATAGCTACCAAAAAATTATTATGCCGGGTGTAGTGGCTCATGCCTGTGATCCCAGGCTTCAGGAGGCTGAGGCAGGAGGATCACTGTGAGTTTGAGGCCAGCCTGGGCTACATAGTGAGTTCAAGGCCAGCCTGAAGTGCATAGTGATACCCTGTCTCAAACAGAAAAGTTATTTTTTGTGGTCCAGGAACCCTAGCACTGAGCTTTTTAAAGTGTTTTATTTTGAGACAGGGTCTCACCAAGTTATCAAACTCAAGATCCTTCTGCACCACCACACCTGGCTTATACCTAAATATTTTAAATAACATCTGGTCAATATAAACAAAATAAGAAACTGACTTTTCTTCTTGGTTTAGCAAGTGGTTCTCAGAAAGCAAGACCTTTTTGCTTTGTTTCTAAAAATAGGACATGACGGTGATGAACTTCACTCGGGTGTGTTGTAAATGGGTGCTGGGCTCTGGGAAACCATCAGAGCAGAAGTCAGAGTGGGAAGCTGGAGGCTGCAGCCTTGTGAGTCCTGGAGGTGGAGTGTTCACCTCTCCCACTGGGCAGCCTTCTGGCTCCAGCGACGGGGTTTGGCTGGTGGACAGGAATAGACGCCTCCAGGTCCCTGCAGTGTTTGCAAACAGCAGGGAGACGACGAGAACACTGCTGCAGACTTGTGGGGAAGAGACGGGAGCCTGGATCCCTTCCAGGATGTAATGGATTTGGATGGGCTTCACAGCCTAGTGATTTCTCTTTGTATTTTTTGTGTAACCTTGTGCTGTTGGAGAGCCCCAGAATAACTGCAAGCTTCAGCAAGGAAGTCAAGCATGTGGCTGTCATCAGGGAACTTGTTTGCCAACAAATGGGCTTTGGTGGGTAAAAGGATCTCTTCCTCCTTTAGTTCCTTCCTTCTCTAAGTGCACTTACTAAATGCACTTTAGACGTGATGTGGGGGTACACCCAAATGGAAGTTTCAGCTTGGTGACAGAGAGAGCTCCTAACTGCTTTTCTTGGTTTCAACCCACGAACGTGTGTCCAGTAAAAGTGTCTTTCGTACTGATGATCTGTGAACCAAATCCCTGTGTCAGTGGGGAGCACAGCGGGCTCGAGAGTGTTCGGCAAACTGGGTATTTGCTTCCACTGTGCCTCACTAGGATACGGGGAATTCCTAGTCATACTTGAAAACTGAGCTTTCCTAAGCATCAGGAGCTCGCTGTGTGAAAACTCCAGGGACTGTTCACTGCCCACTGGAGCAGCCTGAACCCTCTCAGCCTGGCACTGAAGGGCCTCGAAATTCTGGGCCCAACCTGCCTTTTCAGCCTGACTGTCCCCCGCTTCAGATGCATCTCGTCAGTTCTAAGACCTCCGTGATTCGTCCTGAGTTCGCCTGAGGAGAAACATAAGGATCCTATCCTTTTCTTCCTGCGAAGTCTCCCCCAAAGCCTGCTGCTGCTTCGGAGCCTCCACGACCCTTTGTCTCCTCTGAACTTTCACATTTGTTTGGATCGACACAGTCAAACACTACCCCGACAGTTATCTTTGTGTGTGCAGCTATCGCTTACTCCCCAGCTAAACTCTGAGCACCTTTTGGATAAGAACTATTTCACATCACTTTTTTATTAGTAGTCCTGGGGATTGAACTCAGAGCCTTGCACATGCTAGGCAAGTGCTCTACCACTGAGCTCCACTCCCAGCACTTTTTAAAACTTTACTTTGATAGAGCATCTCACCAAGTTGCTCAGGCTGGTCTTGAACTTGTGTTCTGCCCCAGCCTGGTGAGTAGCTGGGATCACAGCGTGAGCCTCTGCACCAACCCTCGTCACTTTTCAGATCCTCCATGGTGCTCGCCGCACACCAGTGTACACCACAAATACCTTGCTGATTACTGGGTGCCATTTCCTCGCCTGGCCACTTAGATGGTAACGGTCCAAGTAATTGCATACTCTGAGTTAAACAATCCCAAGTTGAGCTTGTTCCTCCAGTCGGTTGTTCAAAGCTGGGACAAACATCCTTGTCCTTGTTCTTAGTTGCATTTGAACAATCCCCTGTCTGGGAACAGCTACAGTGTTACCGAGCATCCACGTGATTCTGTCACCGCCTCAGCGAGCTCCGAGTTGGCTTGGTGCTTCCCAGGGGCCGGTGACATCCAGAGGTGGAGCTGCTGGCCCCATCATTGTCGGCGATCATCTCCACTGAGGACACAGGAAGTGGGGATCCTCTGGTCAGCAGTGTGGCGTTGGGGAATTTGCTGTCCAAAATTCCCGGGAGCACCTGTCTGTGCTTGGAGTGTTCCTTCCTTCACATTCATCTGTTGATGTTCTACCTCCCTGCTTTTCTGGACAGCACTGCTCTGCGTCCTGGTAGCCAATATTTGCCTTGCTTTGTATGAACAACACAAAAGCTGCCAAGAGCTCAGGTGAGAGCCGCGGGTCAAACGCCGGGCTCCATGAAATGAGCCTGGGAGCCCCGCTGAGGTGTCGAGGCGTTCGGGACGCCAGTGTGGGGGATCCTTTCAGTACAGAAGCGTCCCCTCGAGGCAGTGAGTGGGTGCCAAGCACAGACAGTGCCGCACCAAGGAAGGGAGTGAGGGTCGCCTGCGGAGTGTGGGGTGGTGTTCAGCATGTGAAGAAGTTTGGCTAGACCAGGGGAGTCCAGTGTGTCTTCCGAGCTGAGCACACAGGTCTGGGGAAAAAGACACTGAGTCCAGGACCAGATGCGTAAGATCGCCCGACTCCACGCTTTCGGAGTAGTTTCCAGACCTTGTCAAAAGCAAAGGCTATTTATTTATCATATTTCAGCAGACACTTTTCAGCATGTGGTCAACCTATGCCAAGAAGACTACCACCGTGTGTGTATTGGCGAGGCAAACACTCCGGGAGGAAGCGGTGCCATTGTCCATTCTTAGAGTCCTGTGAGCCCAGCTTCAGAGCCCTGGGGAGTTTCTCCTGGGACCCTCCCCATGGGGACTGAGCAGAGGGGACCTGGGGGACCCTCCCCGTTAGGGACTGGAGCCCTCTGAGCATTCTGCCCTGGTTCCCTCAGGTCCTTCCCATCTGTATGAAGTAAATGAATGAAGGAAAGTGGCCCTTCCTCCTACCACTCTCCGGTAAACGGGACCAGATGTGGGCTCTCTGACCTGGCAGCGGTCGGGTCTCATCAGCAGCCCAGCAGTTTTCTCAGAGTGAGCTTTCCTGGCCTTCTCTCTTTCAGCAATGAGGTCGTGAGGAGTGACCTGAAGAAGCTGCCAGCCCTGCCCACCCAAGCCCTGAAGGAGCACCCCTCCCTGGCCTACTGGTAAGACCCCAGGCTCCCTCAGGAACGGGGCTCCGGGGTGTGGGGCCCAGATGGCCCAGCCTGCGCTCCCCGGCTTTGGGACAAGTAACTTGTGTCTTCAGGTTCCATTTTCCACATTTGTTTAAATGATGTGTTGTGTGTGAGGCTTCTCTTTTTCTTTTTATTTAAAAAAATCCTTCTAAAATTTCACTTTGGACCTTCACTGCCCAAGGCCTCCGTGTGGGGTTCATGGTAGAAGCCTGTCATGTAGTGACAGCACGTGTGAGGTTAGGGCAGGGAACATGAGGCCGACAGGGTTTCCTTTGCTGGTGAGAGCCTGGGCCTTTGCTTTTCCCACAGTGTTTCGTGTCTCCTGGTTTAGCTGCCCTGAAGCACTGTATCTCAGTTGTCTGTTGGGCCCTAAATTACTGATTCTGAGTAACCCCAGCCTGTGACAGGGCCCAGATTGTGGTTTGGGTCCCGCTGAGTGGCATGTGCATTGCTGGGGAGTGGCTGGAATCCTACTGGACGCGTGAGCCCAGACTGCTGGCCTGTGACGACGACAGCCCTGCCTCTCTGATGTTCCTTCTGACCTCGTAACAGAACCAGTGTGACTGCTTATAGCATGAAGCAGAGAGAGACACGCTGATCCCAGTCAGCTGCCTGGGCCCTGCTGAGCACCGCTGCATGTACTTTCTGAACTATTCAGACCACTAGCGTTGGGTCTTGTCTGGACACCTCGAGGCAGTAGCTGTGCAGTCACTCAGATGGCTTTGAGCAGTTCCTTCAGTTAAGAGAGGCCGAGTCCTGATGCGAAGTTTGCTTGCAGAATTAAAGTCTGGCTCGTAGATGCCGTCTCTCTGAGAAGTCACAGTCACGAGAGGGGTGGCTCCCTTCAGTCCCTCCCGACCTCATCCCTGTGAGCTGATTGCCGTCACTCTGCCCTGGGGCACACAGAGGGAGGTGGTTCAACAGCAGCATTGTAATCTGCACCCAAAGAGGAAAACCTGTTCCACCTGCAGAGATTTCCCATGCATCTGCTTCCACACTTCCTGCCTTGCAGTCTGCATGTGTGAACACCAAGAAGTGACATTGCTGTGTCCTCATCCAGGAAACCCCAGTGCCCTCTCCCACCCCTTGTGTTCCTTGGGCCTTATCTTCTGTATCTCCCAGCTGCTCCTGTTCGGGAATCGGATGGTGCAGGAGACAGGGGTGTGAGACAGGAACTCGGGAAACCGGGGCTGAGCTTAGTGGCGCAGCGCCTGCTGGCATGCAGAAGGCCTAGGTTCAATCCCCAGCACCACACACTCACATTAAATACATGGGAGGACGTGTTTGCCATCAGAGCTGCGACAGCAGGGAGTCTGGTGTCAGAATCGGCCTTGGCCTAACCCAGCCCTTAGTCATCTCTTCATTTGTTTGCAAGCATTCTTCCACACCCATGCACCTTTCTGAACTACGAACTCCCCTTTTCTCTCTGTCTGTCTCTGGGTTTTTCCTTCATCATCTGTGTCTCTGCTCACACATTGTTGCTAGCATCTTGGCATCCACATCCACAGCTGTGTGGCCAACACATCTCATTTTTGTGAGCAGACTGGCATGTTCCTGGGCTTCGCTCAGATCCAGCAGTGCTCAGACCATTGGCACCGAGAGGGTGGCAGGAGGGGGCAGGTGCCTGTGGCTCCACACCCCAGCTGTGCAAGGGTGTGAGCCACCCTGATGATGCTTTGAAGAAACTAAAGGAAGCCAGGCGTGGTGGTGCCTGCCTGCAGTCCCAGGGCTCTGGAAGGCTAAGGCAGGGCGACTGCAAATTCAAGCCCAGTCTGGGCAACCCGGAAACTTAGTGAGACCTTGTTTCAAAATAAAAATTAAAAAAGGACTAGGAATGTAGCTCAGTGTGAAGACCCTGGGTTCAATCTTTAGCAGCACAAAAACACAAGTAGGCCTTTTCGCCTTACTCTATCATGGTTGGCTACCGGTCGCTGGTTCTGATATTCCAACCTGCTTATTCACGTTTTTTAAAGGCAGAGACCTGAAGGAGAGGGAAATGCCATTTGTGTTCCTGTGGGTGTAGAGGGGGAGCGGAGCTAAGCTGTGGACTGGACTCCGTGTCTCCCCTCCACTCAGCACCAGCGCCGTCAGCACGGTGGGCCGTGGCCCCTTCCCGGGGAAACCTTTTCCTCTCCTCTGTGCCCAGGTCTCAGGCTCCCAGCTCCTCCCGAGCTGAGGCTTTGTCGCCACTCTTCTGGCTTGTCTGCTTCCACTGCCTTTGCACAAACCAAACTCGGCCTGTGGCTTTCCTTAGTTCTCTGCTGCCTCGATTTCTCCATCTGAAAAGCGGGCTTGACCACATCAACCTCCTTTGGACTGTAACCAAGAGAGGAAGAAGTCAGAGAATGTGCCTGGGAAGCGGTGCAGGGTGCATTATGATGCTTCTCCCCACCTGCTTCCGCTGTGGAGGCAGCGTCTGATGCAGAAAATCAGAGCAAGGGGCTCAGGGCCCAGCTGGTGAGCGCCAGGCCACCCTGTCACCCTGGCACCTCTGTGGGAACACGAAGAGCCCATCCTGAACCCAAATCCTGGCCATGCCAGCTGGTGACTCCCCCAAGCCAGGAAAGACATCACTGCTGCCGTTTCCCCTCCACCCAAATGCTCCCTGTGCCGCCTGGTTGAGGAGAGCCGACTGGCAGGTCGCAGTCCGCCCTGGTCCTGTGCCTTTTCCTCCGAGTAACCATGCTTCCTGGGGTTGTTTCCCCGGGCTCATGTTCCTACCACAGCAGACCTGGGGCAGGGGGCAGCCCTGTGCAGCCTCCAGAGGAGGTGGGCGTGGTCTGGCCCGGACGGGCTCCCCCGCAGCGGTGAGTGCTACAGCGTGACAGCTGGCCTGGCGTCTAAATGGTGAGAGCAGCAAGAAGCCTGAGGCAGGTGAAGGTAGCACTGTGGTTCCGACAGCCTGAGAGACTGAGAGAGGAGACAGGCCGAGGAGGCGGACGTGGCGTGGTAGCAGGCGGCAGCCGGCAGGCGCGGTCCCTGGGGAACGGCCTCACAGCTGCCTGACGGTGTCCCAGGCTCCGCTCCCTTGGTGTGTTCCTGAAGCCGCCTTGTGCTCAGGACCGCACACCATGCTGACTCCCAGGGTCCCACCTCTCCGGGACTTCCTTTCCAGAGTTGCAGAAGAAAGACTCATGAACTCCTACCTGCACTGGGCTGCTGGACCCTGATCTAGGAGTCCGCCTCGCCTCTCCGAATCCCAAGTCACGGGCAGGAAATGGGACAGCACAGCTATTGATTTCCTGGGTGGGTGTGGAGGAAGCCAAGAAATGATCCCAAGAACCCGCTGACAGCGCTCCGAAGGAGTCGGCAGTCAGGGCTGGTTCTGCAGAGGGTGCCCCTCGGAGCTAGGGGCCAGGTGGGAAGGACTTGGCCACGGACCCTTGGCGGGGCCACAGAGCCAGAGCGCGGAGCCCAGAGCGTGACTGCTCCGTGGAGGGCAGGAGGCCCCGCCCACGGAAACCACACCCAGCTGGAAGGACACTTCCTTGGGGAGGGTTCTGCCTCTCCCACTGCACATTTCAGACCCCGGGATTAGATGTATTTAGATGTATTAATTAACGATTACGATGGTAAGATGGTAACTGAGAGATCAATAAACTCCCCCCAGGGACTAAGTCGAGACCATGCAGAGCGAGTTCCCCCAGAGACGACCGACCTAGCTAAAAGAAGGAAATGTGGAAAGCAAAGCCGGGGGGGGGGGGGGGGGTTCAGGTAATCATGGACAGTAAATCACCAACAAGGCCCTGAGGGCACGCCCCACCCCCGGCTGCAGAGCCTTCCTGGGGACAGCGAGGGGCCCAGGCAGGTCGCGTCAAGGCCTCAGCAGGCTGTGAGGTGCGGCCCCTTCCCCGCGATTCCCCAGGCAGAGGGGTCCCAGGCTCACCTCTCACTGCAGACTGTGTGGCCCGCCACCAGGCCCCCCTTCTCTCTCTGAGAAACAGTGGCAGCCGCTGCCCCCAGGGAGCCAGAGCGCCTCCTGTGCTGTAGAATGAACATTTCCAAAGGGGAGGCAGCTGCCCTCTCACTCCAGTAGCTGCTGTGTTGCCTCTCCACGGTTCCTCTGGACCTTTCCTGGCCTCCTGCTTCACGATTAACCAAACCCAAATTCCAGAACTTTCCTTCCCTTTGGAAGTACTGACTCCACGACTACTCATCGGAGGAGGTGAGAAGAGCCACCCGAGTGTTTACCGTGGTGTCTGCTCCTGACCACTTCTGACTGCTCCTTCCTCCTCTTGGGGTTACCTTTTCCTGCAAGAAGCTGGACCTCCAAGCCTGGGCTGATCTTATGTCACTGATTAGAAGTCCCACATAAAGACCACGCTCATCCTCTGAGGGGGAACAGCCATTTCTAAGTAACTTGATACAGCCTAAGGGATTTCATTCGGCTGAGTTTAGGAATGTCAGTTCAGGACAAGTCACTTTCCCAGAGTTGATGGGTCCTTGGAGCTCCTTAGGAGGTTGGTCAAGCTCAGAAGTGTCTCCTGCCAGCAGGATCCTAGCCTCTAATAACAGAATTCTTTTCTTCTTACTCTAGTGAAGACAGAGTGATTGAGCACTATAAGAAGCTGAATGGCCAGACAAGAGGTCAAGCAATCGTGAAGTAAGTGGCTCTTCCCAACTCTCATGAAGATTGTGTGTGTAAGTGTTAATGCATCATACGTTAGGGTGTTCAGTTCTGCTAGGAGAGATGTGTCTCTGGGAGGCAATGTTTTAATTGAATTTTTGAGGAAATAATCACTCCCCGAACTTTATCACACACACATGCGCGCCCCCAAAAAACCCTGTATATTCAACCAGTTGTGCAAAATAACCACCCTCGTGTGCACTGTGTGTGTTTGTGTACATTGTCTTTGCAGCTACATGAGCATCGTGGAGTCTCTCCCGACCTACGGGGTTCACTATTACGCCGTGAAGGTGAGTGAACTCATTTGATGGAGGTTGCCCACCTGCCCTTAAAAAAACAAGCAAACAAAAACTTCTGATTTTTAAATCTTCCTGAAGATTTTGGGGGGAATAGGAGCTGGTGGGGAATGGATTGGTCAAGAAGACTGCATGCCTGGGGAAACTGGGCAACTGTATTTCCCCCTGTGCCATCAAGACTTGATATAATTATTTTCCAAGACTTGTTTTCCTTTTTTGTGAAATACCTTTTTTTGTGAAAAATTCCCTGCTTTCTTGTAGTTTGAGAGGTATCTGGGGGAGATCAGGACTTCAGGACATCACAGTAGAAAGACTCCATCAAACACAAAGCTCTGTAGAAAATAAAAACTTGCAGCAGAATCGAGCGTTTTCCTTGGTGGTCAAATGCCTTGCAGTCAGCCCCTTAGGAGAACTGGGGTTACGGGCTGACAAACTGAGTGGGCGGCCGTACGAACGGCAGGTGCCATCTTCTTGAACATTCCAGTGCCAAGTCCAGTGAGACATTGACTTCTATTCTAAATCCTCTTTTAATTTTATCCATAGTATTCCAGACCAGGATCTCTTCTTTGAAGCAGTAGATAAAGATGTTCCCTACAAAGAGGAAAAATTCTCTGTCTCACCTCTTTTCTTCCTTAACCCCTAAGTGAGTATGTGAAGTTGAGCCTAAAAGAATAGAAGATGCTTTCAACCAAGACGGTTGCACTAGAAAGTCCAACATGAGATTCTCTTGCTCTTTTACAGTGTCTTTCCCGACATTTCCTCCCCACTATATTTTAAAATTTTCTTTAGGTTTCCTTTATTCTGTGTCATCCTTGGAAACCTGCGTAACACTTTGTATGCCATTGATACGCATCGAATTGCATGTACCTTCTGCTAAACTGCAGGCTTTAGATGGCGAAGAGCAGTGTTGCCTTCTGCGGTCTATTTCCAGAGCCAGGCGTAGCACCCGGCCCAGACTTGCTCAGTAATCGTGGACTGAGTAAGATGCGTAATAAGACTTGAGCTGAGTTGTTGGGCGTGTGTGCTTCTGTAACGAGGAATGAGGGTTAACATCTCAGTCGTGGAGCCCAGAGCTGCTCGGCACTTGCGGGGGACCCCAGGCCCATCCAGCAGCTTAGCTCAGGATCCCTTTAAGAAGCTGTCCCTGATGTCCTACAGAAGTTCTTCCTGCCAGTGGGAGCTCTTAATTCCTCTTCACCGTGGAACTCCTGTGACCACCACAGCCAGCCCTGTTCTGCTCAAGCCTGAGACAGAGTGTCAGGGCCGGCTGACACTCTCTAGCTCAATCTTTGTTCTGAATTTGGGTTCAATTCTGTCTCTTATCATTGCAAGAGATTAAGATATTTGCCTCCCCACTACCCTCATGGAACCTTCTGAATGTTGGAAGCCAATGTGAGATACAGGAAGCTTCATCCACTCTTTACACAAGACTGGACCTGTGGCCCATTCTTTGGCAGCCCCAGAATTTAACATTAAGGTTGCCTCTGATGGTCATGTTTTCTTCCTTCCAATAAAACCTTCCCGAAGTGCTTTCTCCTCAGTTTGTTGGAGACCAGGAGCAGGCTTGTGATTTTCAAAGGCCACATTGAGAATGTGTGTTTGACTCTTGAAGTCTCAAAGCCTAAGCAGTTACTACTCTGCTGCCACTGGCAGCAGAGCCCCTGGTTCAAGCTGGCGCAGCCTGTGTGTCCATCACTGCCCAGTGGCCCTGTGCCCTCCCTGGTGCCCAGGTGCAGTGCGCCGACCTCACATACCAGGTCAGTCTGATGGCACAGTGGTGCTGGGGTTTCCCAAGAAAGGAACCTAAGATCTTACACAGCGTTTACATTTTGTGGCTGTGGGCGGCTCAGCGGTAAGGCCTGCACTTAGCCTGTGTAAGGGTCTGGGTGAAATCTTCAGAACAAAAAGAAAGAAAAAGATCAAATACCCTTGAAACTTTAAATACACCTCCAAAATGTATTTCTTTTGCCTTTCATCTTTGTGCTTACCCTGAAGTAACTCAGACCCCAGGTAATTGGAAATCATCATGCTGATTTTGAGTTTTTGAGACACCCATAATGGAGGTGTATAAGGTTATTTGGAGATGTAGCAGTTTGCACACATCTTGGGAAAGGCTGCTTAGTATTCCTACATAAAATCCTAGCATTTGAGAACTTTGATGAAGAACTCAGCATCATCCTATCTGAATAGAGAATTGCAGCGTGCACTCAGGTGCCATTATGAATGAGTAAACAGAAGCGCCTGGTGTTTCTGACTCAGTCCTGAGGGTGTCTAGCCCTGCGTTCAGCAGCGTGAGTCCCAGCTGTCCCTGGGGTGCAAGGACACCAGTGATGTGTTCAAGCCCATGATGCATTGGCTTGCTGTGTCCAGACGTAAATAAAGCTGAGTAAAGCTGGGCCGACTCCACTTTGATTTCTTAAAAAGAGGGGAGCCGCTGTCTCATCATCTCCAGGGTCCTGTCTGGCTCTGACAATCGCACTGGCAGTTTCTCTGCTCAAAACATCATTCATTTTGTCAGGAAGGCTCGGCGTCTGTCAGGTTTCTCTGTGTGGTGAGCGAGGGGCTCAGCCTGGAGGCATAAAAGGAGGAACAGAGCATTTGCTCCTTATCTATAAGGGGGGCCATGGCTGTGGTGCGGGTTAGGACAGAGCTGTCCCCAGCCTGGGGCTCTGTCCCTGCTGCCCCGCTCAGGTGGCTGCGCCTTTCTGTGACAGACACGTCTGCTAAGGTAGAGAGCAGCCAGCTGGGCTCCTTCCACCCCCAGAAAGTTGCATTTTCCTCATTTTCAGGCGAGTCAGGAAATCTTCCCTCAGCCCATGCTCATCTTCTCCAGCCCTTTATTTACCTGCACTCCTTTTGGTGTCTGTCCTAGGACAAGCAGGGAATACCGTGGTGGCTGGGACTGAGCTACAAAGGAATCTTCCAGTACGACTACCACGATAAAGTGAAGCCCCGGAAGGTAAGGGCGGCCTCCTCTGTGGGCTTAGCGGCTCTCCTTCTGAGAAAGGAGCAGACAGGGAGTTAGGGCGCTAACCCCGGCAGCCCCAGGCTCGCCAGCGCCCTGCTAATTTAAGTGTATACAAATTACTCCACGTCATCCTGGCTGAGCTCCCTGGGTAAGCATCTTTCTCCCTGTCTCTAAGGAAGCCTAAGCTGTTGTAGGGATTGAAGATAAGGTGCCTGGTTCAGCTCCCCCCAGGCAATGGACAGAGGGCTTCGGGGGACTTTTGTGTTCGTTCCTCACGGGCTGTGTTCCAGGGGGAGGAGGGAATGCCTGTCTTGAATTCTGAGGCCCATCTGGATTCTCCAAAAGGCTTTGGGGTTTAGACCAAAAAGAGGTGAAAATGAAGGCGAGTGAGAGGAGGGCCTGGAACGCTGGCAGCTGCCTCCTGGGTCGGTGGAAGCGGTCGGACAGGAAGGCCGTTTGCCAGAGACGGGGCTGCAGAGTCACTGGAGACGCAAACACGATGCTGGAAGGGGCACCATGCTCCACTTTTCTGTTTGCATTTATATACATTTCCTAGACCACAGTAAATTGAAAACTTGTGATGGAAAAGTATCTCTGAGGCAAGTGCTGTCATTCAGAATCTGTGGCCGAGAACGACGGAGCGGTAGTATGCAGTTTAAATCTGAAACACGTATTAGAAATCTGTCAAAACCATTCTTTCTGCAGGAGAGGGAGAGCAGTGTGGGTCCGTGGTGCCCTTCCAGCTTGCTTTCCAAGCTTCCTCATCCACAAATAGGATTGAAACTCCCAGTGGATCTGCACTTACTGCACCCCACCCAGTAAACATCGGTCCTTGGCCAACTTCTTTATTAAACTGATAGGGAAAAGTGGCCCTGTGGTGGGGAGGATTTTCACTCAATTGATGTGTAAGTAACCTAAGTTCTAAGTAAGATCCTGAGCAGAGGAGGAGGAATTATTGCCTGAAACCATCTGGCAGGAGCCCGACTCTTTGGGGTAGCAGAGTGTCATGTTGCTCTGTGGCTATCTGCAGAGCATCCCTATTTCCATGTATGTGTACAAGAAGTGAGTTGGGCTTTAGCTTCCCATTTTTCCTCCTCATTTTTCTCCCTCTTCCTTATTTTGTCTACTTCCCTGTGCTTTCTCCCAGGCGGCCTTTCTAGTTTTCTGTGCTTTTTCTTCTCAATTCTCTCCTCACTTCCTCTTTCTTTTTATATTAGCTCCTCTCTTTCCAACTGGCCTGACTGATTTTTCTGCTTGCAAAATCCAGGAACACTCCCAGAGCTTTTAATAAAGTCCTGGCTGCGATACCTTCAGCCGTGTCTTACCCACAGTGGTAGGAGACAAGAGCAAAGTGGGTAACTGAGATCCACAACAAAGTTCATTAAAATCCCGCAGCTGCAATCTTCTCCCTCTCTAAACTTTCTGAAGGACACACTAACAAGTATTTAGATTTGTTCCATCCAATATGTTGCCATGTTTAAGCATTCTTTATTTGTCTCATGCGGTAGTAATGAGAACTGAATGTGTAACGAGGTAGCACTTGATACATGTCAAACCGAAGGCAGGACAGAAGCCAGGCTCCATGAATTATAACTGTAACTGTAAGACTGTGAAACAGCCTTTGCGTTAAGAAAAAGGGAAGAGCCGAAGTGTGAAGAATCAGCCATCGAATAATAGAATTAACGACAACTTGTGGAACTTTTCCGGGTCAATAAATTTTAAAATGTTAAAAGGTCAGTATATATTTCAGGGCATTGGCTCTTCCTGAAACTGAGTTGTTACTTGAAATAACAAGTTTCTGTGGCCTTTGAGGAAGAAACTGAGTAGTTGAAGGATAACTGAGCTATCAGTCATCCTTTATTCATTTGTTCACTGGAAAATGGTTGTTGCATATCTATTATGTGCAAGTCCTGAGATAAACAAGATGCCAGTCAGGTCCTCTAGGCCTGCCTGTGTGTCCAGGACAGAAGCCGTGCGATGGTTTAGATAGTGCCTATATAAGTTCATTTTCTGTTGCTGGAAACGCAATACTATGGAGTGGGAACTTTATAAAGAAAAGTGGTTCATTTTAGCTCAGAGTTCTGCAGGTCTAAGGACAAGGGGCCACATCTGGCTGCGTCCCTAGGAGATGTAGAGCATCACATTGCAAGAAAGAGCCCCACGCACACCGTGTTTGTGTGTGTGTGTGTGTCTGTGTCTCTGTGTGTGACGGAGGCTCCACCCTGAGACCCTTATCTAATCCCAGTCACCTCCCTAAGCCCATCTCTAGACACTACAGTCAGATTAGGTCTGTGCTCTGAATACCTCACAGTGGTGATCAAATCTCAGCCCTGGAATTGTTAGGGACACATGCAAACCACATCCAAACCCCAGCAAAGGCAGAGTGCCAGGAGAAGCCTGTGAGGTGAATTGAAGACAAGAGTCACACTAAGCGCAAGGAGAGAAGAGCTTTCGGATGGACGGGGCAGGAGAAAGCCCACCGTGGTGCCACAAAGCACCGGCAGGACAGCACAGTATGCAGGACGGAAGGCAGCACGCAGGGCTGGAACACGGGCTGAGGGGAGAACGTGACAGGAGGCTGAGGGGCCAGGGCCAGCTCCGGAGGCCTCAACCGCTCTGCTGAGGTAACCTCATCCTCCAGGCAGTCGAGCCATGGAATGCAGTATTTAAACCAGGGAAGCATCAGACCAGACTTTCACTGGTACAGGAAAACCTCCTTCCAGCAGCTGCATGGAGGCTGGATAGCAGGAATACAGGACAGGACCTGGAAAGCTGCACAGTGTCACAAATAGTATAGACCAGGACACCTGGAGCTGTGCGTTGGCTCTCAGCAGTAGGGACAGAGAAGAGAAAGTGGGAAGATGTGGAGAAGGCAGATGTTATTGGTCAGCTCTGTGCAGGAAGCGCGTGGCAGTAAGAGAAGAGAGCGGCCACTGGCACTGCCGCCTAAGCGATGGGCCAGGTGTGGAATCTGAAGACAGGAAACCTGGGGGTGGCGGTGAATGTGCTGTGGGACACACAGTCTGGGGCTTAATGGGGCATCCAGGAAACGGGCGAGTGGGCAGCAGCTCCTCATTCAGAGCTCAAGAGTATCAAGAATTTGCAAAGCATAACTGAAGTAGAAACTGAGCAGAGAGAGGTAAAGGAGGGCCAGTGGGCCCTGCCCTGAAAAGTCACCAGTAGCTGTGAGCCAAGGACTTCAGCTCCTTGTCACGAGAATCACTGCAGAGAGGCAGGTCCTGAAGGTTGTATGATGTCGGGGTCCTCTTGGGAAACAAATGTACAATCTGCATGGAAAGTTAAGCCCCGCTCTGCTAAGACGTCAGAGGCCATGCAGCCCCTGCACTGGAGAGCAGGGTGTGTGTTTCTTCTCACACCCAACATCACATCGAGAAAGACCAGGATCTGCCCTGTGTAGGACACACAGGGCCTCCTCAGAGCATCGGGCTCCATGGCCTAGCTGTGGGGCTCTGACCCCAGGAGGGGCCCGCACATGGAGATGAAGGCTGACGCACGCTCCCGAGGTGCCAGGAGCCCGTCTTCAGCCCCAAGGCCCGCGGGGCTTAACTGCTGTGATCTGTCAGAAATCCGCAGCTACTCTGGAGTGGCTGGATGCCTGTCTACCCCCACCCTGACCCTGCAGCTGAGCTCGTGGAAAGCCTTGTGGGGATGCTGCTGTGCAGCTGCTGGCCAGGATCACCACTCACGGCCATCTGCGCCTCCTTCCCACACTCTAGTCAGCAGGCCTGACCGCAGTGTCCCTGCCCACCAGCTGGGCAGGCCACCAGCACCAAATGCCCTCCAGGTGGCGCTGCTCCTTCCTGCACTGGGGCCAGGCACAGCTCTGCACCAGGAGCTTCTAAGGCTGCTCAGGGGAGGAGTGGTGTCTAGTTCTGAGCACCTGGAGGCATCTGTAGCAACAGCTGCATCTCCAGCCGGGGCAGCTGTTGCCACCCAACGGCAGCCCACAGCCCTCCCTGACTGACACTCTGACCCAGTTATGGCGCCTCCACAGTGAGAGCCAACGTGCGGGCAGAGGCAGTGTCAGGGCTGAGCCTCCTCCCTCCCTTTGAAGGGCCTCAAGGCGTCCTCTGGCATGCACTGCAATCTGTTAGCACAGCCCGAGGAGCCGCAGCCACTGTGAGAATCCACTCAGCTGTTCCCACATGGCCAAGGAAAGCAACCCCCCCCCCTAAAAAGACCCCTGGGGAGGGAGGCTGGTGCTGCCCAGAAACGGCCAGGGCTGTAGCTCGGTCCCTTCTCTGGTTGGGATGCAGTTTGCCATTCTAGTTCCAGAGCCCTCCCAGGGTGGCTCAGTCCGCACTCTGCAGCCTGGCGGCTTTGGGAGCGTGAAGTACAACCTGCAGCACCTCACAGGTGGAGCAGCAGGAAGCAAGCCTCACACTCCCTCTCTCTGCTGCCTGGACCCCTAAGGCTCCTGGTCTACCCAAAGCGCATCCCTCAGGCAAGCTGCTGCCAGCTGTGCTTAAGGAGCTAACAAACAAATCAAAAAACGCCAACCCCTCTGCCCTCAGAGCCGAAGTTATGTCAGGAATAACTAGACGTGGAAGACATTTTGCAGGCTGGCTTTTGACTTTTGAGTGTGTTCAGAAGAGTTCAGAACTATTGAACTTCTGAAGACCAACTTCTGTTGTATTTTGGAATGACACATGCAGAAGAATCACCCGGAAGAGTGCTTAGAATACAGCACACAGTGCTAACGACAACATTGAATACGTGTACTTTCTCCAGAACTATGTTCCTTGCTTATGGATATAATTTATTTTATGTAGGCCAGGTGGAACTCAAATAGTCTCTGAGGATGCGATGCAAAAAAGCGTTTTAAACCAGGTCTTCTTGAATTCACGGCGTAGGCTGGCCTGGCCTGAGTGTGTGACTCCTCTGCCTCAGAATCCTGAGGGTCGGGAATACAGGCTTGTTTCACCGCCCCTGGCTTGCTGTAGCAATTGTTTTCCCATTTCATTTTTATG